TTTGATTAAATTTTCTTAAAAACGGCCATTTTCTTAATTTTAAGAAATTTGGAAACAAATTTATTGATTTCAAAAATACTTTAAATTTCTGACACATTTTAGTAAAATTAGAAAATTTAATGTTAAATTAAATGATTTAAAAAATATTACTTATAGCATAAAGTAATATACAACCAATTATCAACGGTTGGTATTTTTATCCAATATTTGATGTGTTGATTGACAAGTGATGACAGCTACAACGGATGACCATAATTGAAAATTATTAGGAATCTGAGTGAAGGTTTTTTTAGTTTGTTTTTGTTTTACTGTTGTGTTTATTTATTAGAATAAAAGGGACAAAACTCTTATAATAATGGCAATTTCAGTCTACTGAACGTATTAAGTAAAAAAAAAAAAAAAACATAAAAAATTAAAAAAAATTAGCACAACTAAGGTTAAACTTTGCAATTTTGAACTCGTAAATTTTGTTTCCACTTAATTACATCACCTCAAGGAAATAGCCTAATACAGAGCTTTACACGATTTTTAAACTATAATTATAAATTATAATTTAATTATTCATCAGAAAATATTTATTTCTTCAGACAGTGACCGTAATATTACTTTTTTTACAAAAGCAATTAAAAGCTTTTCTAATAAAGTAATATCAGTTTTATTGGATTCCGAATTCTTCAATTCGGAGCAGATTTTCAGTTCGCTCAAATTTGAGAAAGTGATTTACCATCTTCAATGACTCGTACTTTAAACAATCTTTTCAGGAAATAGGTTTTGGATGAAATTTCATGACAATAAGTGGGGTGTAACATTTAAAAAAAAAAATTTTATCAAAATTTTCGAAATATTTAAAAAAATAATTTCATTCATTTGTGAATGTCCTGAAAATTTTCATTAAAATCGGACAATTACTTGATTTTTACAAGAATTTCCAAATCAATTTGTTTTCAATGGAAAAAAAGCGCAAAAAACAATGTTATTTTAACGTCACCGATGACATAAAACAAGTCTTTAACCAAAATTTTGAAAGTGTTAGAAAATATTAAACTTAAAAATAATTAAAAGATACTTTGGTCTTTCATCTTAACATAAGCATTTTTGCGATAAAACTTTATTTTCGTTAAGTTTGTGGCATTTTTCATTACACTATGCTGTTTTCCCGTGAAAAAGCAGACGTACCTAGATCTTACCGTTTTGATTAATAAAAAAAAAAAAAATTTTTTAGCTAAAATTTCGGACATGTGAGAAAGGATTAAAAAAAAATTGAGAAAATACTCAAAAAAAAACTTTGGTCTTTCATCTAAATAATGACACAAACATCTAGACAATGCAAAAAAATTTTTTAAAAAGTTTGGGTTGTTTTTTTTTGTTTTTTGTTGTTTTTTTTTTAAGCAATAATGAACATCCCTACATCTAGTTTAAAAATATCCTGGTAAAGCAAGTCTTAAACACTCTGGATGTATGTTCACAAGGTTTGAAGAAGGGTTGTCTTCACAAAGGCCCATCAACAACTGTCCGTGGTGATAACAGCAATATTGATGTGCATTTCATTTATTAAAACCAAATACATGGTAATTGCAAACATTTATTCTAAGGAATAGATCATTACTTCAGTTGAACAACTCTGAAAAATATTAAACAGCCAGGCATATCGGCAACAACTTCTGAAATCCAAACTATACATGACAATATTGACTTCAAATACTCAACAGGAAAATTTTCCTAATGAAAACATTCAGTGAGTATATCACCAGTCACTTATCAAGGAGGAACTGACTTCCTCATTGAAATCAAAACAACCCTCAAGGATATCTATCTGCGAATTAAAAATGTCTCGGCAACTTTCTCACTATTTTACAATAACATGACAATGATCCTTGAAAAATAGGTCAACAGAATAGCCAAAACTACTTGGAACAATCATTTTGACAATTTCTTCACACAGCAAATCCCAAAAAATCTTGCATGCAGTGACAGTAAAATTATTTTGAATGAAAGCTGTATTAGTGGTTACAAGTGAAATATAAAGTTTTTTTTTTTTTTTGTTCTAAAGAGAATTTTGCACAAAGGGAAGTCCTTTGTCTATCTTAATAGCCTTCCACAGTTTTTCTACAGCCATCCGAGATGAATTTACTTGATTAGCTATTTACATTCTAATTTCAAATAGTCACTAAATATTGTAAATTGTTTAAAATCTGTTCAGCTGGCTTGTCAAATCTGCTTCTGATATTTAATGTCAATTTTGCACCATTTTAGAAACATTTCCAAGCTGGAAAGAACCATGAAAATTTCAGTTTTAGTACTTGAATTTTTCCAAGTTTTAATTCTTCAGTTAATGATTGAAATAAGCTCATGGTGAGTTCTGTGACAATAAAATCTGTAGGAATTCCTCATCACATTAAATATTTGAGCTTAACAAGATATTGCAATAAGTATTATGAATGCTTTTTTCTTTTTTTTTTTTTATGTAAAGGAGTACAAATAAAATTAAACTTTTTCATTTTCTCACTGAGACCAAGTATTTTTTCACCTTTCTACAGTGATCAAAATGGAGTAGTCCATTATTGGTAGAGCATAACGATCAAGCTAGTTAAGTATGTAAGATGTTTATACAATAGTGTATTGAACAATAAATGTAATAAACTTAAATCTGCTCCATATTCTGTGCATTCAGTTTGCATCGTGTAAATGCAATACAGGTAACTTTTTTAAATTTATTTTTATTTTGACTTTGAAGAAATAGAAAACTTAACTTTATCTTTCATTTAAAAAAAAAAAAAAAATCCAGTTCAATGCAGGAATCTTAATGACTTCAGAGTGCACATTTTGACTTGCATGCTTCTTGTTATCCAGGGTTTGCTGCCAGACAGAATCTGAATTAGCTCTTACAACATATTTGTCCTTTCAGACAGATCAAAAAATATTTCTAAAAAAAAATTAATGGTTTTGTTTTTTTTTTCTCTCCTGAATACAATGTAATTTCACTTTTGAACCCCCCCCACAAAAAAAATATTGTTGCTCAGCCAAAGACATGGTTGTCCAGACTGAGGGTATTGTATTATTCCAGTGTATTTATTTTGACTGTCAAATTGTGATAGATGTTAACATTTTAAATGTATGCAGTCACATATGCATGCACATTACATCCAAAGATTGTGGCAGATAATTGATTCTTCTATAATATAAACTACATTTCTCAAAATTACTGAGTTGTTAAGTAAAATAACATTGAAATTGGAGGAAAGAATCTAAAACCAAACCTAGACTTAATTTTCACAAATCATTGATGCTGGATTCTTAATCAAATCTGATGTTCACTTTTTTTTTTTTTTAGTTACGCAATGGCTCAGAACCGCACATACCCCGCAGAAACCAATAAAGGCGTGTTAAATCAATATTTAACTTTGCCGCAAGAGAAGGAGTCTGTAATGTGTGAATATGTTTGGATTGATGGCACGGGAGAAGGTGTTCGGAGTAAGTGCGAACTCTGAACTATATACCAAAAAGAAGCCAAAAGTGTATTTATATATATAATATATATGTATTTATATATATATATATATATATATATATATATATATATATATATATATATATATATATATATATATGTGTGCGTCTCTATCACCGTTTGGAGTGATCAGGTGTCATGACAAGTATAGAAGAGATATCTTCCAGAAATTTTTTTTTTTTTTTTTTTTTTTTTCCTCCAAAGAATCAATTGCTGTGGCAACAGTTGGTTGCATACTAATTCTGATGACCTGATTTACTCGATGGGAATAGAATCCTTTTGCAAAAGGACTTAAAATTGTTTGCTGTTGACCCAAGGTGATAAATAATTGTTGCCACTTAGGATCTAAGCTCACAATTGACTTAGGATCTAAGCTCACAATTGACTTAGGATCTAAGCTCACAATTGACTTAGGATCTAAGCTCACAATTGACTTAGGATCTAAGCTCACAATTGACTTAGGATCTAAGCTCACAATTGACTTAGGATCTAAGCTGACTTAGGACAAAGCTCACAATTGACTTAGGATCTACAATTGCCTTTAGGATTCAATTGACTTAGGATCTAAACCTTGATTATTAGAAACTTAAAAAAATATGCATTTCAATCTAGGAAGCTTTATCCTTATGTAATTGTCCTTACCCCTTCCTTAGTTTTGTATGACTGTTACGCCTTGCCAATACCTCAAATATCTTCTGTTTTGTGTAGACGGAGAAAAGACACTTGTTTTCAACAAGTCAGTCCAATTTGATCTTAGCTAAAATGCTGAGGAGCAATAGTGACTGCAATATGGATACTATTTCTTAGATGCAATGTCTAACTGAAACTGGTAACTGCCAAAAATTGTTACCATAAATAAAATGTCATCTGTTGGATTATTTTTAAATTCTTAAAAGGAATGTTCATAAGATGGGATTTGACTTATTTACAATGAATATTTGATTACTTAAGTATTTATGGAATGGAGAGCTGCTGAAAAAATTGTATATGTGGCTTGGTCATTTCAAATTCTGGTTACTTTAGTTTCATTAACTAGTGCTACTGTCCCTGGAAAAGGCATGAACCCATCTTTTCCAGAAATGTTAAATAGTAAGGTGGACTGAGCTCTTCAGCCTTGGTTGGCAATTGACAAAAATAAATTAAAAATGATCTCTGAGCATCTGCTGTGGAAATGGTGATAAGGTAGCAAGTCTTGCAATATTGTCTATTAATTACTCGTATTTTTTATTTTTAAAATTGTAAAGTTTAACACGTCTTAGATGTTTGACATTGCTAAAATCTTGTACATTCACCTGAGATTCTTCTGCACTAATCTATTTTTTTTTTTTTCTTTTTCTTTTTGTCAAAGTAACACTTGCCAGTTTTTGAATTCAATTGACAACTAAAATTTGTCTTCAAGTTAACAGAAGTCATTTTTATTTTTAAACCAGATTGTCCCGTGTGGAATTTTGATGGTTCTAGTACTGGTCAGGCGGAAGGCTCCAATTCTGATATGTATTTATATCCTGTAAGAGTCTTCAATGATCCTTTTCGTCGTGGCAACAACAAATTAGTTCTCTGCGATGTTTATAAATATAACTTGAAACCTGCTGGTAAGTACTGATTTTATCTGTTCATGGCCGCTAAAGCAGTTTAAAAAAAAAAAAAAAAAAAAAAATGAAATTAATGGTATAAAAATGGCTGTTAATATTGTACAGACTGTGATTGATGAATTGTCTAAATTATGCAGAAATGAAAATCACTGACATCTCATTTTAATAGATATTTTATGTAATTTTGGTAAATGTATCTCTACTTACTAAATTCAGTAAAATCTACATCGTCCAGATGACTTCAGAATCTCCTGCAACTCTTCTGGACGGTTTCCTTCAAGTTGGTAAATGCTGCCATAATCCTTGCCTTCAGTTCATCTTTGATTTTTACGAGAAGTTTTGGTCTCTCACTCAACTACACCCACATAATAATCAAGGGGGTTGCAGTCTGGGGAATTAGGTGACCAGATGTAAGGGGTGAGGTGGTCACAGAAATTATCTGATAGCCATGATTGGGTTGTCCTGCACTTGTGGCATGGTACAGAAACCTGTTGCCAAACATGGTCTTCCAGCAGCCACCCTCTTGACCCGGGCTAGCACTACCTCTTCAAGACACTTTATGCCCCGTGGAAAGATGAATGGGGGCATAATGTTGCCATCTCTCCAAACACCTTTGTAATCACCATTTAGACTCTATCCAAATCCTCTGCAGTGTCCTCAGATTGACACCCAAACACCTTGAAGTGTTGATACTGGAGCTTCCGGCATGAATGCCAAGCAGTACAGCCATTTCTAAATTCCTAGCAGAGTGAATTGCATCATGGTACTCTTATCACAGATGGTGCCCAACTGACCCTACTATACTGTGCAGTTGACAAAATCAAAAACAAATGCACATATGCAATTTTAAAAATATAAAATGGTGACAATTTACTCATCGCACCCTGTTCATTTTTTAAAAAAAAAAAAAGAGCAGAAATAAAATGTCTAATGTGTAATTATTTACACCTGATGAAGGCTAAAGAGCAAGACAGCTGAAATATGATGACAAAGATGAGGACAATAGTCTGAATATAAATGATTAGATAGGCTCTTGTATTGTTTGATACATACTCCCTAATCTTTTGAAAAGAAGCCAAAGTTTATTCCTTGTTTTCAGTTTGGAAGAAACTAGAAACCCAATTCTAAAGTCAACTTTAACTCTATACTGCTTGGCCTGAACTGAATTTTTTTTTTTCTGATTAAGTCTTGACCTTCAAGTCTCGAATTTGAGCTGATGACCTTTTCTGTTATGCCCTTTCTTGCACTAATACAGCAGTGTCAGTGTGTTAATACCCAGTGGCCCTTGGGTTTTGTATTGGATGAACACCATGGTGTTCTATATTAACAGGCCTCTGCGTAGCGCTGATACCTCGATAGACTGGAGGCTGGCTGACAATTAGATCGTTTCAGTTTGAGCGAACTGCTGCGTACTGTGTACTCTTGTTGTTGGCTCGAGAAATTCAAAGGAATCTTAATTTTACCTTTTGGTTGGAACATCATTTAACTTATTTATTTGAAGTAAGTATATTTGATTATTTTAGTTTGAGTCCATACATTATTTAAATTGTAAAAAGTAAACTTTTTAACTTTTTTTTTTTTTTTGTGCTTAAATTTATTTACAGAAAAGATTTAAAAAGCCTTAACATTTTTAAATTAGTTTAATTCATTTTTGGCATTTTCCCTCTTAAAGTTTGTTCAACATTTTTTGATTAAAGATTAAAGAATTATTTATTGATAAAATGCAATTCTTTTTGAGAAATTTGTTATTTTAAGAAGCAAAATGAAACATTTAACAAATTTGAACAGAATTTAATTTAGTTTCTTCAAAGATGTAAAGAAAACTATTTTTATTATAAAATGAATTAAAAAAATTTTTTTTTTTTTTTTTTTTCATAAATTTAATGTCATTACTTAATTTGATATTTTTGATATCACTAAAAAAAACATTGTTAGTATGAGTGAAAACATAATGTCAACGAAATTAAAGTTTAATTTTCTCAAGTTTTTAACCATGATAAATTAGCATAAGTCAACATTTTTCTATTCAAAATTTAAGTTTGAATAATAAATTTGAATAAAATTTTAATAGAGAAAGGTTCATTAACATTTCTCTATTAAAACTTTATCCAACATTTCCATTAAAAGTAAAAACAAACAAAATGAACGAATTTCTTTGCGCTTTTGTTTCCGAAGTTAAAGAATAAATGATTATTTTTACTACATTAGTTACCAATTGGTGAACTGTATTTTTTTTACTTAAAAAAAAATAATAAATTTATTACATGCAGTTAATGTCAATTTTTTTTTTTTTTTTTTTTTTTTTTACGCCCTTTTGACTACAAAATGAGATAAAATTATACAAATTTGAAAGTCTGCTTAACAACAAAGACTTTATATGTCCAGTTGTAGCATTTTTGGACGAAAATATTTTAACTGTTCAATTATCAAAATCTATTGATGGTATTCCTCTTATGTTGATAAATTTCATAAAGTGGTTGAGTTCATTTTCTTCTAAAATTTCTGAAAATCCTACATTTTTCAATCGGCCTCCAGTTCTGGTTCTCAGTTGCACCATGACTTGGTCTGGAGTATAGAACACCATGGTGAACACATAAAAAAAATAAAGGGCATTTAGGACTCTTTTTGGCCAACATTGTAGTTTGATTTTTTTTTTTTTTTTTTTTTTTAAATGGAAAGGACAATCCTACTGGGTAGTAATGAAGAAAAAAAATGGATGAGGGTAAATAAAAGGCTTTCATAAAAATTGGCAAAAATATTAGCTAATAATGGATGCAGAGACTGCCTGTTGAAACCCCCTCAACTTGGGCATACATGGTATTTATTAAAACTAATTTCACCCCCCCCCTCCACTCTCTTGCTGAATGCAAAAACTCCAAAAACAAACACCAGTGGAAAATAAATCTGGCTAGCTGAAGCAATTCAGCCAACCATTTAGCCAGTTGTACAGAAATTACCATAGACAAAACATGTCTAAGGGGAAAGTTATCATTATGTACTTTGGGTAAGCCATATATACATGGATGTTTGGACCCTACAGGTCTGATACAAGTGCAACCTCATTTTAGAAATGAGGTTGTACTTGTATATAGAAGTTAACTGTCTCTGTACTCCTGCCTTTCTTTTGTTGGTCTCATTACAGGACCAATTTTACAAAATTTCAAGTAATTTGGTAAAAAAAAAAAAAACCCCCAAAAACTTCATTTTATCAATATAGTCTTTGCTATTCAGAATAAACACCCCTGAGCCTTTATCAGGTGTAATAATGTGAATGTCACTTTTTGTTTTAATGACCTTATAGTCTGGTAGTGGGCATTGTCAAGTGAAAGAATTTGAGAGCGATGAATACTCGTAAAATAATTTGAATAATCTTGTTTTACAAAGAGAGCTTGTCTTGAGAGCTAAGTCTATGCAAGTTCAACTGAGAACAAAAGTTCACTCATGAAAATTCCCTCCTTACTTTAGAGGGAAGAATGCAAAAATCTAATCTATTTTTCTAAATGTCCTCTTTAATTTGCTGATTTGTTTGCTAAATAGCATGGAAAAATAATTGGTGCTTAATTTCAGCTAAGGATGAACAATGCAAACATTAGGAAGAATCGAATTTACTTAGCTCATGCTTTATAAATGCATGTTTGGCCAGAAAACAGGACCCTATTTTAATCTTGAGCAACCTGTCTTAATGAAGGAACAACATTGCGTGATGAACAAGGCTGGAGAAACACCCTTTTGGCAACCCTTTAACCTTATGCCAGAATTGACTAGTTTGATTCACTTTGTCAATAACACTTGTGGTAGTTGCAGTGAAAAAATTTTTTTTTTTTTTTTTTTTTTTTTTTTGAAATCTAAAGAATCTTCAATGTCATTTGTCCCAACCCGGCATCTTGGCTTCACTTCACCACTACCAAAATGTAGCTTCCCATGTATTTTCTCTCTAAATATTTCAATGGTATTTGTTCTGATGATCTCTCCTCTTTGGTCTCTAGACTTTATAAATTTAAGTGCAGTATTAGATTGGTAGCAAGACCTCATCATTTTACAGTCAAAATTGCTAGATGTAACCTAAATTCTATGGTAAGTTTTGTCTAGTGCACATTTTGCTTGTGGAACTCTTCTGGTTTCTCAGTCAAATTTGATCTTCAAAAATTTAAACACAATGTCGGTTGTTTTTAATTATTGTCCTTTTTTTTTTATTGCCTTCTGTCTTTTTAATAGTTTATTTTTCTCAGGTTTTCTAACACTAACACCTTGCATCTTGGTGGCTTTATTGCTTTTATTTCATTGAGTGAAATGATTTAAAAAAAGAAAAAATACTGTTTGGCTATCCAAGATCATTTGCCATTTTTGGAACCAAGGTAGCAGAATGAACAAAAAAGTGATGCTTGATTTGTTTTTATGTGGGCTAAAAGCAAAGATAACTTTATGCTGACAAAAAAGTTGTATGACAACTTTTTCATTTATGGATCCTTTAAACAAAGATTTTCACTCCACAATCTTCATGACTCACACTGGCCTGTTCAGCTGCTATAGCTCATGGGAATCACTTCTTCCAGTGTACCAGTAGGATAGTCCAGTCACAACAGGTACCTAGTTGTGTATGTTTACAGTAATTGTAAATGTGTCCTCAGGTTTTTTGCTGATAGAATGAGGTACCATACAGCCTCCAATGAGTTTTTGGTTCATGTGTCTTATTGTGGCTCTGTGATAATGTTAAATAAGTCTTTTATTCCTCCTCTCTTCACTCTGAGGTGGTAACACCTTCTGCTGATAAAGCAAATGTTTTGCTTGTAAATTCTCTTCAAATTCTGCTCTTGAGTCTTTTGGGGATATATTTACCTGACTTACCACTTAGAACTGAGTCCCTATTAAGTAATATTCATATAAGTCTTTGATTTCTGCTATAATCTCTAAACTGGATCCCCACACTTTTTTTTTTTTTTTTTTTTTTCTTCTTGCTTGTAGAAATCTTTCGGCTTCTTGCTTCCCAGTCACCTTTTGATCTTCAAAAATTTAAATGCAATTTCAATCATCTACTGTCTTAATTCTTGTTCTTTTATTGTTCTCCATCCTTAATTTTTTTTTTCTCATTCTTTAACACTCAATAACACCTTGCATTTTGGTGGCTTTATTACCTTGCTTGGTGTGAAATGATTACAAAAATGATTCGGTGAATTTCCTTAATTTTGTCAGTACCAAATTAAGATTTCCTTGTTTATTTTCAGAAACCAACAACAGATTTTCTTGTGCTAAAGTCATGGAACTTGTTGCAAACCATCATCCTTGGTTTGGAATTGAACAAGAATATACACTCCAAGATTTTGATGGGTATCCTTTTGGCTGGCCTAAGAATGGTTATCCAGGACCCCAAGGTAATTCTTTTCTATTTCTATGGGTATGCTGTAATTTTATTAAGGGATAAATAAAATTTTATAGAATGTCCTCCTTTTGTGAAGGAAGTGTTTTTTTTTTTTTTTTTTTTTTACTACCTAGCACAATGAATTGGACATTGGCTGTGGTTTGACTTGGAGAGGGATAGTTTCTGCCTGGTTTGCTTGTCTAAGACATCTTGCATATGAAAGAATACCTTCCAGCTATCAATGTTTATTTTCTAAGTGTAGCTCAGGTGTGGCACAAGGCCAAAATATGGGACATCTATTGAAGGTTGAACTCTGCTTGATCATAAGTCTAGCAAGACACGCTTGCTAACCATTACACCACATCAAATTGCCCCCTTTCAAACCAGATATGTTGGGAAACTGGTCAGAGGCTCAGCTGTGCAGTGGCCTTATCACAGTCGGTCAGTGGACTGATGGTTTTGTGGACTCTATTTTTCTTTGTTTAAGCAGAACACCAATTTTTTTTTTTTTTTTTTTTTTTTTTTTTTTTTAACCAATAAAATGTAAAAACTGCAGAGAACTTTCTTTATGCAGAAGAGAATAATCCTTTTTATTTAGATCAATTTTGATTATATAAAAACAGCTGCTTTTGCCAAATCTGTTTATGTATGCAAGATAAGTATAAACCCTGACTACTCATTTCTCTTGGCTATTGATTAAAATGGACATTTCTCTTATTACTCAAATGTTTATCATGTAGACTGGAATGAATATCATTTAGCTGATATTTTCTTAAAAATGTGGATTTGTGTAGCAGGCAATCACACAAAGCTAGAATATTGGAGCATACAATAGTCAAAAGTTGCTAACAACCCTAATCTGCTAGGATCTCAAAGTGCTTTAATTTACACAATCGGAGTGTTGAGCATCCAATAGGGTGGTTGATATTTTGTCATGTTCCTCCAGATAATGGCTCTCCACAACTTCCAATCAACTGTTTCTTGGAAGTTTTTCTAGCTTTGCTAAGCAGCAAAACCTCACCTGTTTTATCATTCAAACTACTTTGTCTGCCCTCTTTGTCTAAAGAATTTCAGTTTTCTTTTCCTGATTTGGAGTATAAGTACTTACTGCTGCCATTTTTCTATAAGGCTTGTTTACTCTGTCCTTTTAATTCTCCATATCCTTCTGTAAAACCATTTTTGCTGCCTAATTACAATTTAATATTGGTTCCATCATTGATACCATTTTTGTGGAGAGGGCAGTTTTTTTTTTTTTTTTTTTTTTAAGCTGAAGTCTTAACCTAATTACAAATGTGATTTATTCTTGAATAGGACATGCCTTATGATGAAATACGACACTGAGGCAATTGCTGAAAACTGGACCTTTCTCTTAAACTGTTTAAATGCTGTAACTGCTGACAAGGTCTTAACATATCAAAATGAGCCACAGTAACAGTTCTGCAAGAAGACAATGCCAAGAAATGACTATATGTTCTTTTAAAGTTGGGTTTAAATCATGGAACCCATTTTTCCATCTCTTTTTCTCTGAATGCTGAATATTTAAAGGAAATGGCTGACACTATTATCTGATTTCCTACTTGTAGGATGACCTTATGTCTGTACAGTAGCTTTTATTTTTTAATAACTGAGACAATTTCTCTTCTGGGTAATTTTAAAACTTAATTTCTGCTTTAAAAGGATATTAGTAATATTGGTAAATGAATATTCTCTCTAGTTATTATGAAAACTTTGAAAATCTCAAATTTCACAATCACAACTTGTCTAACCTTGTTTCTTCAGGGCCTTACTACTGTGGTGTTGGGGCCAACAGAGTTTATGGACGTGACATTGTAGAAGCCCACTACAGAGCTTGCCTTTATGCTGGTGTCAAAATCAGTGGATGTAATGCAGAGGTCATGCCAGCTCAGGTCAGGATTTGATTTTTTTTTTTTTTTTTTTTTTTTTTTTTTTAAATACTACACAAAAGCAAACATCCAAAAAAAAGTAAGTCATTTTAATTAGTTTTGTGTCAAGAGAATTATAAATAAATTATCCACTTCTTAGGGAGACAAGTTAGCAAAAATAAAATTGGAAAAAAAATTCAGATGAAGAGATGCTGATGAATAAGACAAAAAAAAGCTAAATAAGCTTAAACGCTAACCTTTATTGAAAAATACCAGATTTTTCAGGAGACATCTTGCTAGTCACTTTTTTTTTTTTTTTTAAAGATAGTTGTCATGGCTGAATGCTTCTGTCTTAATGGTTGCTTAAACTAAGTCACAACCAGAAAAGGTTTTTAGTCATAAACTTTGGGACAGAAGACCCTCTACTTTTTAAGCCTTTTTCTTAACATGCGAAATCGTTTTACGTCATCTTGTATTGGGAAATGTCTTTATAGTTGTGGCCCCATCAGTTGGTCATCTGCCTATGTCTTGTTATTCAGTCACATTGCTGACAGTTTGTGTTGCAACTCTTTTTAATCAGTATTCTTCTACCTATTTTTTCATTGGCAAGTGTAAGATCTCTAATCTACAAGAAAAATGGTTGGTAGGTAATGTGGAAGTCACTTGAAAAGCAAATATGCCATGGAAACAGTCGCTTTAAGATTTTATGGTAAATATCTTGAATTGGGTTTCTCAAGTACAAAACATTTTATTTTAGACAGAAAATAATACATATTTCTTTTGCACCTTTTGGCTCACTGTATGTAGGAGTGGGGGTGCTGAAATATCCTTTGCCCAATCCAGAATGCCTCTTAGTTTGGGTCAAGAACCTTTTCGGTATTGCCTTTTTGTTGTATTGTAATCTAAACAGTCGAATAATGAACTTTCTTTTTGCTTTTCAGTGGGAGTTTCAAGTTGGACCCTGTGAAGGGATTGAAATGGGTGATCACTTGTGGATTTCCCGTTATATCTTGCACCGAGTAGCAGAAGACTTTGGTCTTGTTGTTACACTTGATCCAAAACCAATGACTGGCGATTGGAATGGTGCTGGTGCTCATACAAACTTCAGCACAATTGAAATGAGACAAGATGATGGCCTTCAGTAAGTAGCGTGATTCAATTAACTGACAATGTTCTTGTAGCTTTAAAACTAGTTTCGGTTATTTTGCCAATTGAGTGTGATGAAAGATTCCCCACCTGCACATAAGGAGCTAATCTGTGCCATGTCCATTTTGAGTGTGGCTGATTATGGCTCTTTTCTCTTTCCTGGCTCTTAATAAGGTTTGTCTCTAATCCTGGTTCTGACATTCATTTTCTTTCTGTAAGTTGCTTGCTGCTTTATTCGGTCCTTCCTGCCTTCAGTATGTCCTGTGAGTGTCAGATTCTTCAGACATGCTTTCTTCATGTGTCCTAGATTTTTTTTTCATTCTATCCTTTTTGTTTCTGTCTTAAAGTATCCTACATGATCAGTCTAGCATCCTCTCTGTAGAACCATGAGGTCTCTTAATCTGTGAATAGATCAGAATTTACTGCTATATTGGGAGTTCGATATTACAGATAAATATTTTCTTTGTTTATAAGTTTTCCTGTTTAATACTTTGCTTAGCTTTTGGAAAGGATCTTTTTCTACTCCAATGTACATTCATATTTTATTGTTCCATTTTTCTTTAGTCTAAGTTTCCAGATATTTAAATTTTTACACTTACTCGATTTTTGGTACCTTTTTACTTAGTATCTGTTTCCTCAATCTGACAATCATGTATTCTTCCTTAGAATTGCTAGCTAGTCTTTTCTTCTTGCTTTCTCTTCCCTTCTGTGTTTATTTTCAACTTTGTCTTCTGTGTATATTGAAATGTTAATATTGTCCACCAATAATAAATCTTGCTAAGATTTCCTGTTCTTTCAGGATTGCCTCACGTTAATGATTCTGGTAAGGCACATCCTTGCTTTTTTATTTTTGTTTACAAAGAACTTGTGCTTAAAGATGAAAGCATCAATTTCATATTTAATCATACAAGTGATTTATCATGAAAATCATATTTATAGAGAAGGATGTGTATTATGTAATATAGGTAATTTATGTAGAGGCTGTTGCTTTTATGAATGTCGGATCAGTGTCTGGACTGGTTATTGATATGATACTGTTATTCTGGCATTTAATCTTTTTTTTTTTTTTTTTTTTTTTAAGTAGGCCACTTCTGAAACCACACTCTTTATCGAGCATCGGTATAATTTTTTTAGTAAGTGGTAATGGATAAACTCCTTAGATGCTATCAGTGGTGTGCTGAGGTCTTGGTCTAGGGTCGCGCAACAACTTGACTCTGCACCCCCTACCACAATCGGTGGGCAACGAGCCAGGATGGCTTTTAAATTTTTATAAACTTAATTTCATATTCAAAAATTTTTCCCCCCCTCAGTTGAGTGCTCCAAAAATGAACACAGGCAAGACTAACACACTTCTCTCACATAAGCCTCCTCTTTTATCACCACTTCAGACACTGTTCTGTTAACCCCCCCCCCCCAAATCTAAGCATTTTTCCTTGCCTTTTACAATTGAATTTTTAGAGAGAATCCCATTCACTGCAACAGATTGTTGCAGACTTTGAACATCAGTTTGAAGTTCATGCTATGACACTGAAGTTTGTACTTGGTTATAAAAATCAGGATGTTGTCCCAAAATGGCAGCATAGTTAGAAAGCAGTTATGCAGTTGTCATATACTTGCCATATCATCTAACAAATTAGCTGTCATCAAACTTTTTAAAATCTGAACAGTATTGCACCTAGCACTCCATCTTGTATCAAGAGACAGCTTTATATCTGTCCCTATTGTTTCCTACCTTTCCTACCTCATTGAGGTACAAATAATAGTTGTCAATTTGCAAAGATTGGTTTGATGTTTCTGTTTCTTGACACCAAACACTTTCCAAGCCATTGTTGCAGCATTGTCATGTCTGTCCATGACAGTTGTTCAAATTGAGACCATCTCGTTCCAATTTTGTGGTGATTTGGCATCTTTTTCATGAATTTTAATAAAATCAATGAACACTTCCTTGACTACAGCAGTTTTAGATTCATTGTCAACATTGACAAACCTGAGAATTTCAGACATTTGTTCATTGTGAGAAACACCAGTTGTCAAACATTAATCCCATATTATCTCTTTCTCTTGACTCTGTAGGCCAAACTGGCATACTTGCCCAGTAGCACAATGAAATCATTCTGGATCTTGCGAGACACAAATATTGCAGAATGTGGGTGCAATGTGACAATCCAAGTGATGCTGTAACAGGGGGTCATACTTGCTAAGTAGCTTAATGTGCAAGAAAATTACTGGGATTATTACTTGGTATCTACAAAATGCCAGATATTGAGTTGCCAAGAACTTGATAGAATCTGCAAAACACATGAGCAGAACCTTCCACAATTGCTTATCTTCCTTCATATGCTTCAGTATGTCAATTCTAGATCCTTCTGATCTCTCAATGTCTTTCCATGCAAGAAATGGTGCATGGTGATGACTGCCCTGTTCATATTCTGGTATTTTTTCATTGCATTTTTCTATTTTCAAAATCCACAAGATTTTTTTGAATACCATGTTTTGGTTGACCGGCTATTGTAAACAGCAAAAACTGCATCATTTCTAATATGAGTACAACAATCAATTATGTGGAATCTTGTAGTTTTCTTTGAGACCAGTAACTTGTGAAGCCGTGGTTGACACCAAGGCTTTATGCCCATTTCACTTCTCATTGCTGCTTTGACATGTCGGCTCTCAATAACTTCCCAACCTCTTGTCCGTTTCGAAGGGCTGTCCTTGTTTTGAAAAGCTTTAGCATTCATCTTCACTATTTGTAATTAAGATCAGAAATTTGTGGTTTATCGCAATTTACATAAAACTTAAGCAACCTGCATCTTTCTTGGTTAATACTGCATATTTAGTTTCATTATATTGTGAATGTTGCTGTTGGTGCTGGCAGCACTGGTGCAGATGATTATTACTCCAATGACCCTGGTGTCTGTAGTCAGAGCAAGTGACAAGCTGGGGAAATGACACAATTGTCACTATCTCCATCTGGATATGGCATTTTTTAGAAACTTCATAACTTGTGATTTCTTCTGTACCATATTTTCTTTTATTGACGATGTTGCTCCATTCTTAAAATTTTTATCTGAAAGGAAATGGGAATTATAGTGGTCTCCTTCGCATGAGGTGAGTTTGTCTTGTATGTGTTTAACTGAATGGCAGCACCATGGAACCTTATAACATGGTTAATTACCAGCAAATATTGGAATAAACAAAAGGTGGCCAATATCGGAATCTGTCCTAACAGTTACAGGAATGGAATTATAACAATTTGCTGCTTTCATTCTTTGGACAAAGGCATTTACTCACAGTCAGTGAGTTAAATAGGGAAGACTGGCCTTGTTAATTCAAAAATTAACACTACAAGTAACCACTTCATAATCTTAAGAGTTCTGACAATTTAGATGTTTAAGAAATTGGAACTAGAGAATAACCCTTCTTTTCCAGAGGGGAAGTTTGTTGGTTAATGTATGTATCTTTTGTCACGATTTGTCATCCTGATATGAGACTAAACATAAAATTTGTTTTTGCAGACACATTGAAAAAGCCATTGAGAAAATGAGCCTTCATCATGAGGAGCACATCAAGGCTTACGACCCCAACAAAGGCAAAGATAATGAGAGACGGCTGACAGGTCTTCACGAGACCTCTTCGATTCATGATTTTTCAGCTGGTGTGGCAAACCGTGGTGCTAGTATCCGTATTCCAAGACAAGTCGCTGAAGACGGCAAAGGTTATCTTGAGGACAGACGGCCATCGTCAAATTGTGATCCCTATGCTGTTACGGAAATTATTTGCAAGACTGTCCTTTTGGCTTAAAAGGCCAGCTGACTTGATTTTTGGATGGATGGGTGAATGATTTCATGCCTCTTCGTACAAGAATGGATTGAAAGGGTTGTTTGTGCTTTTTTTTTTTACCCCCCTCCTGTTTTATACTTAACTTCTCTGGTAGCCATCTGCCTTCAGGTATAAATGGAATTACTTGTTAGGGAATCTTGCAAAGTTTCTGAATTTAATGGGGATCTGGACTTATTGAAATTTAAAAAAGTAAATAAATTTATGTATATTGGTTGTATTACTACTTTAAAAAAAAAAGTCTTTGATTCTTTAAATATGCTTTCTAAAGGTCTTCCATGTTTGGGTGTACAAATAATAGATCCATGGGTAGACATTATTCCCCCCCTCCCTCTCTCTCTCTCAAATTCACTGAGTGATTTGCTTTTATTTTTTTTTTTCTTTCTTAATAAAGCTGTCACTTTACTCACTACACACACACACACACACACACACACACACACTTTACATATAAAAAATTTCATAAATCCATTTTCATTTTTTCCTTTTTACTGAAATTAAAGTGTTTTTAAATTTTAGTCTGTGTTTTGTATTCAATCTTAGTTGTTAAAGAAGTTTTCTTTAGGGTGTCAGGCCAAAAATCCAATCTACATAACTCCCAGAATTCTGCAACATTGTTAATGAATGTACAATATAAGCAAAACCTTTCTGTCCAGGGGTCTAGCTGTTCAATAAGGGTAGGTAATCTTGCTACTTGTTTGAATTTTCTGCCATTGCTTGCACATTCTCTTTATATATATATATATATATATATATATAAAATGGCAAGTTCCTTCTGTAAAGGTCAGCAGTAGCAGGGGCTAAGGAATGCAGCCTTTCTGGAAACTTTCCATCACAGTAAAGATACAGCAGCGATAGGCTCTCAACAGTTCATCAATGAGTGAATTCATCACCCAAAAGGCTGTGTAGATGCTTTTGAACCCTATCAAGGCAAGTACTGGGTAGTAATACTTCATTTTTAGTTTGATCTGGCTCTTGTAAAGATTGTATAGCAGTGGAGTCCTTTCCCCAGTGTCTTTAGCAATAGATCTAATGAAGATTCACTTGATCTGTGGAGAGCTAAAGTCTTGACTACCAACACAAGAAACCTCCTTAAGAGAAAGCCCACACATCATGATAGATGAAAAAAAAAATATTTAATAAACAAACAAAACGTTCTGTAAACTTCTCAGAATTTAATGAGAAGGGGGGGAGTCAATAATTTAACTATATGATGACACTAGAGTGTTTTCTCTTCAGTATCATTGGACTTCATTGCTCTCTACCAAGCAAAATGACTACCAAGCAAAATGTGTCTGGCTTATATGGACAAATCAAGATAACCATGATTAAAGCCTTTACCTAGCCAGGCTCCAGAAAATGATAATTCACAATGCCCATCACTCATATTTCCTTATCTCCATATTGTTGTAAATTAACAAACTGACCTTACTAGGGAAGGATTCCGTGTCGAAAATTCAAAATGATGGCTATGAAAGTGGAAAAAGTGACATTTGGTTTCTATATTTAATTTCACCCTTGTACTAACCCTTTTCAAGCAAACACTGTGACCCCCCCCCCCCAGATGGGGTTTATGTTCCAGTACCACCCTGCCACCAACTCTGTTCTGCACTGATATGAAAATACATTAATTTTATCGGCTACTCAGCATAATTTCTTAATTCCTTCCAATGTCTGGTTAATGGTTTAAGCCAGAATTGCATTTACCAAGCCATATTTTAATTTTCTATTTCAGGTTTGTTATCCTGTTACAAGGTTTGTGACAAACACTTTGGATAATGTTCAGTTCTGCTTTTGTTACTTTACTTGTGCTCCAATTCCCATTTTGATTCCATACTCATAATTACTTTTAACTCCTAAGTTAAAAGATCAACTTCAAATTTTTCACTTGGTTTGGGTTTGAAAACTACTTAGGATGAGATTAATTTTTAGCTGAGTGCTCAAAAAACCAGATGTCCTTTTCCTGTGACAATCTGCAATTTTCTATAATCATTATTTTGGATTTCTAATGAATCCATCACCAGTAAGAAGCAAGCTCGTTAATTTATGAGAAGATGGAGAAATGAAATGAGTTATTCCTTGAATTTTCATTTACCCGTCTGGGTAAAATGAAGTCATTAATAAAGAGCATTTTTTTAATTGTCAAAAGCTGAAATTAAAATTTGGCTAGTGTTAAAAAAAAAAAATTAGAGTATTTGTTTATTTCTTTTCATTCCTGTTTTTAGACATTAACCACTTCATGCATTAGAAACTATGATGGCTTTACCACTAGCAGGAGTTAATTGCAGTACAAAGTAATTGAGGAAGAGATATCCAACTTGTGTCCCAAGCATATCTTCAAACAAGTGACAATGTTTGAACTGGTTAATTTCTAATTAGGCATGTGATGTTTGATTGTAAACTAATACTGTACATTTATGCACTAAGATTTTAATTTGAAAAACAGCTTTTTAAAATTTCAAGTTGAGCTTTATTTATGTTGCACAAAATAGTAAATATTTAATATCCAATCCAATTTATCAGGAAACTCACTTTCAACAAAATCAACATATTGCATTATGTACTGTCACAGGGTACTTGGATCACTCTCTCACACTGTCTATAACAATGCATAATCATCAGCACTGTAAACGGACTTAAACTTTAGTACTCTAGGTGACTTTTTGCCAAGCAAAATGTTAATACTATGCAATTTGAATTTCTTGGTTGTGTAGTCATATCCTTCTATGGCAACACCTAAAACAATCTTGACTGAAGTTGAGAGCCAGGCTATTACAATTTCAAATATATAGGACTAATATTAAAAAAGCATGTGTTCCGCAACTTTGCTGATTTCAAAAAAACATTTGATCGTGTATGACATGATCTTTGACAAATCCTTAGGGAATTCAATGTAGATAACAGAATTATCCAAGTCATCCAGGCCCTATATAAGGATATCACCAGCACAGTTTTTCTGGGAAAACAAATGGGAGGATTCTTCTGGACAACTGTTGGCAGAAGACAGGGATGTGTACTTTCACCCACATTGTTCAACCTGTTTCTAGAGACAATCCGCTAAGAAACCCTAAAAGACCATGGTCCTTCAATATCTATTGGTGGTAGACTCGTCTGTAACCTACTTTTTGTAGACGACATTGACATCATAGCAGGTAGTAACAGTGAGCTCCAGGACTTGACCAACAAACTTGAAAGAGCAAAAGCCTATGGAATGGACATCAGCTCGGAGCTGATGTCCATTCCATAGGCTTTTGCTCAATGGTCAGTAGCACAAACGGTAACACCCCTGTCAAAATTACCATGAACAGGGATTCACTAGAGAAAGTGACCAGTTTTAAATACTTAGGAGCCATTTTGTCTAAAGATGGTACTGGATTGCGGCCGCGATGGACAAATCGGCAAAAATATAGAGGAGCTTTCAAACGAAGTACAGACTACAAATCACTGATAGTCTTCATTCTCTTATAGGGATGTGAAATGTGGACATTGTTGGTAGAAGCATAGGATACAAGCATTTGAAAACAAATGCATGAGAAAATACCTTGGAATCTTCTATTAGGAAAATAAAACCAAAGGGTTTATGGGGGAAAAGGGTTGAGTCTTGTGGGTCAACAGGTAACTCTTGCCACTGTCAAATGGAGAAAAATGGCGTGATTTGGACACGTTACAAGGCACGACAACCTGTACAAGATCATCATGCAAGACATCATTGAAGGTGGACGTAGCATAGGGCGCCAATGCAAAAACTGGTTGGAAAATGTCAACCAATGGATGAGTATGACTCTACCAGAATTGCTGATGGCTGCCGTAGTGCAGGAGATTTAGTGTAGCTTCGGCTCCCCCCCCTTATGATTACAAAAGTCAAGGGGATGGTGATAACATAAAACACTATTTTGAGGGGATTCCTTATACAGTAAAAGTGGAAGATTTATTTAAAGATGATGTAGATTGCTAAATGTTAGGGATCTAGGTGTCTGAGTGTATAAAGCGTGTTATTTTGGCACTTTACTATAAAAATCTCATGAAATTTTTCAAGATTTTTTTTTTTCATCTTATCGGAAACTACTTTTTAGACATAACTCTTTAACAGTAGCAAATGTATTAAATGTTAAACTAATTAATTATGCATTTATGCAGTCTGTTCTCAAAATATCCATTAAGCAAATGAATGCACAAACATGTGGCATTCAGAAAGGCTGACTTTAGTCTGTCCAAACATGGTTTGCATTGTTAATGTGGGCATTAAAAATGTAGTATGATGTATTTAGTGTGACTTCACAATGTTTTTTTTGCTGTATGCAATGCATTTGACTTGGCTAAGTCGGACACTATTCTAAACTCACTCTTTGGGACATATAACTTCGAAAATTTGAAGATGTTGAATCATCCTGAAGTTTCTGCAGCTGTTGATACTTTGACTGCTCTTCCACGGATGACTAGTATTTCGTGCATGTATCTTTAACAGGAAAGTATGAATGCCACGGGACATGATATCAGCAGCGGTTTTTTCATGGAAAAAAAAAAACAGTTGATTTGTAACGCCAGAAGAAGAGACGTCAACCACCAAACTGCACCCGACAGTAAGTCCTCCATTCGGAAGTTTGAAAGTTTTGAGGAGACTGAGACCACCTCTTAATTGCTGTTGTTCCCGGGTCCACCTTGACCCGGGGTGATAGCACCTGTTCAGGTCCCAGCTATGAGCAAATAGTGAACCTTCAAACAAAAACAAAACACTATGAAAGTATAAAAATATATTTTTATAGTGATAATAGCAGCAACATTTTTATATAATATCCTACAATTTCTTAAACGACAAAACTGCTGTCATTTACTCACCATAGAGAAACGTCCTTGCCTCCTATCAGCATGGTTGATGCTCAACTCCACAAGAGCGCCTCATTGAGCCATCTTGGCCTCACGTTCTCCACTGACCTAAGGTGAAACAACTACATTAGAATCAATTGCTGCATCTACCAGAATCAAAGTTGGCTCTCTGCGTCGTGCCAGAAGGTTTTTCTCATCTGTCCAACTTATACATCTACAAATCTGTCATTCGTCCATGCCTGAAATACTGTTGTCATATATGGTTTGGTGCCCCCTTGCTGCTTATCTTAAAGACGAATATGCAATGTGATCGGTCCTGACTTGTCTCAACTCCAGTCACTTTCTCCCCGACGTAAAATGTGGCTTCCCTCTGTCTTTTCCATAAATATTTCTCATGACATTTGGTCTGACGGGCTATTTTCACTGGTGCCCCCGACTACATGCTACTAGGATGGCATCTCAGTCCCACCCTTTTACTGTCGAAACTGTTTAATGTAAACGCCTTTTCTACTTCAACAACTTCTCCCACACTTTACGACAGTAGAACTCACTCTTACTTGCTTCCCTGATAA